TTAACGTTTTATCATATCGTCTTTTAGAAGAAATATTATCAGATGACTCACTCTCACGCCTTATGCATCTCGCCGTCACATTCAACGATAGATGTTATGTTATATTTGAGCCGTGTCACGAGATTTTTGCGTGTCGTCTAGTACAAAATAGAATTTTTTAAGGAAAAGGATTTTTTAGAGAACGGAATTAGGGCTAAAAAGAGAATGGTTGCCTATTTATGGTCAAATTTGGGGTGATTAGAGAACGGTCAGAATTATAAAACGAAAAGAGAACGGAATTAGTGCTGAAATGAGAACGGTTCAGAATTATGAGTTCAAAAGACTGACAAAGAGAACAGTCACATATTCGGATAGTGAATTATTATCTATATACATTACCTGCAAAAAAATATCGTACAAAAAAATGCAAATATGTATGATATTTCCAAAAAGTAGAGCAGGACTAGATCTGTTTGGTCTACCACATTTTCGATCCTAAAAGCATACGATCTTTTGGGATTACATGATAGCCAAAAGCAATTAAAGTCCAACTGTATGTTTATAAATGAATTTTTTACATAAGAATCTGCGAGAACAAAAGTTTTGTTAAATCGAAACTATGTGAGCAGGTTCATACCATATCTTAAAATGATCGAACGATGAAAATGTATTGCTACCAAAATAATTAATTCACTCTTGGATACTCACTATTACCGGATGTGATGTAGGAACAGCCGTTTCAAAAATATTCCATGGAATTAGAGTTGCATATTTGATAACATCTAAAGACCATTTTAGTGTATATTTTTTAATGTATATTTGTTACCATTGGTACTTGATTCACTTCGAAATCTAGATACTTGATTTTCTGATATTAGTTTATTAAATTCAGTTTCCGTATTACAAATTCGCAGTGGTAGCCATTGTCTGCGCATCATTTTGTTTAGAATGTGGTTCTTTTACTGTTTATATATCGATGTAAAAATTGATAGCTGCAACTAAAAGAACTTTAGCCGTCGGGTGATTGCCAGATTTCCATTGCCGTTACTCAATAGTTGCAATCGAGAAAAAATCTAGTAATCTAGATGAATCGGGCGATACTAAATTTTTTTATCACGTCTGGGAGATCAGCATATCGGCTGAAAGATAAAATTTATTCTTCTCCATTTCGTTTGTTAGAAAGTAACATTCAGCTGTATTTATATTAAATTGGTTTGTGCATTGATAATAGACATGTGTGCATTCTGTACCTATAACAGATTTTCCGCTTTCTTTCTCTTTCTGCAATAACAGAAAAGAAAGGCGAGAGAACGATATTCATCTATATCTACGCGTAGATTTTGCGACGCGTAGAATATAGTCTATGTCACCGTTCAATGCATTCCAGTATTTTTGATGGCTTCTCTAATAAAACAGACCAGAACTACTTCCACGTTGCTAATGCTGACAGCTTTCGGCATTAGCAACGTCGATGTCGAATGATGATATTTTGAAAGAAAAAACATTACGCTTTCTTTGAGAATTGCGTCTGAGTTTTGTTTTCAAAGGTTTTATCGATGGTATCACCAGAATGCAATCATTTTTTTTCCTCAGATTTTTAAAATAGCTTTAAATCTGTATTTTGTAGCGTTCCGGTTGACCATAGTCTCGCTTTTTCCCTCTGATGATGATCCTTCGGCCAGCCCCAGCGCACTGCTTTATCAAAATATTTTACTATAAGTTGGAAAGTTTACGACGTTTAATCAGAATAGCATAGTATATTATACAGTTCTGTTTAAGGGTGCCCCTCCACAGTGGGCAATTTTCCAGTTTCTTCGTTCGAAGAAAAATCTCATAAAAGTGTGCGTTCGCGATTCAAAATTGGGTATTGCGCGGCGAGATTACTATGGCTTCGCGACGCGGAATGAAGCGCGGATTCTACTAGGCTGTCCTCTGTGTTTGGTGAAAAATGGGAAACTTTGGGTAATATTTACGGCTTTGGGAAGGAATATTCTGTGCGTGACAGAAAAAGGCTCTAATTTACATCCAATTAAACCCTAATTTGCTGCGAAACTACCTGAGCAAATGGTGACGGTCTAGAGCGAACAATTCAGAGGCCCTTACGAGCTATCCAATATTAAAGGAACTTTCTTCCAAAGCCTTTTCCTCATTTATAAATGTCAATAAATAAATGTAACGGTGTGACATACTTTTTTGTCAGTGAATTTCCAAGCACTTACTGTTCTCCAAAAAACGTGATTTTTATATTTGCCAGATATTTGGTGATATTCTATCGCTTTATGTGAAAAATAAAGTTGAAAAACTTTTTTCAGGCTTTTAAACTTGACTGGAACCTTGAAACACTGAAAAGGCATAAGTTTTGTATCCTAAAGTCAGATTGTCGAAAAAAATGAGCCACTTTGTAAAGAATTTAATTATTTATCGAATGGTGTAAATTTTAAACTTTTTTTAAAATAGTTTCTAGGGCAAAAATTTTAAAATAAAGTTTTTAAAATTTTATATTAAACTTTTTCCACTAAAATTTTTATTTTTATTTGCTAAGGAGATCGGATTCGTAATCATCACGAAAAACTGCATCTAGTGATGTGTTCATATTGGATCTCGGATAACAAAAAATTTTTAAAAACTTAATCAGTGAAGTGTCGCGTTACGTGAACAGGCGGTTAAGTTTTTAGACTTCACTTTGAAACTATCAAGTTTTTCATTAATACAAGGCCGAATTTGAGCAAATATCGTAACAATGAATCAATTTTCATTCAATCGCTTTTAAAGATACACAATTATGTAGCCTATTTTGCTGCGTCGGGATAGTGATTTAAAAAATAGGAAAAGATCATTGAAACAGTTAAAACCGGTTACTTTTACTTTTTGATTAAATGGCTGAATCGTGTAACACTGCTACCGAAGTGTGAGTGCGTCAGCGTTTTTACTCTTTTTGTTTATGTTACAATATTGATATAAGTGCCGGAGATGAGTTTTTAATATAGCTAACGATGTGAACATACTTTTATTGCTATATGAGACTATGATATGTGGCGCAAAAAAATTCATTATAATCATATTTAGATTTTTCTTTAGTTCTGAACTGATGTATGACCTATATTTAGAAATTGTTTTTTTCCCCAATAAAGAATAATTAAATTTCTTTTCCCTGTGGAATATGTAAGACAGAAAGGAAGAGGAAAATAATAACGAAAAAAGTAAGAAAAAACAATTGAAAATTTCAGCATAGATAGGAAATGTGGGGGAAAAAACGAAAAATGTTTGAAAGCAACAACAATGGCGCGACTGTATTTCTATAGACTTACCTACTCACATGGGTATTGCTAAAAGACGCGAACACCCACGAACATCCACGAACACCCCCAAATTAAAATCTGAGTTAGCCAATCGATAGAGCTCGTCGAGCTGAGTATAGCAACGCCTAACGAACAACCGAAAACGTTTTTATAATTTCGCTTTTTAAGCATACATTTTGAAGGAACACCCACGAACACAAAGAACAAAGGGTAAGAACACCCAAAAAAGTGCGCCAAATTCATTTTCAGATTATTCTGGGCTGAGGGTGAGGTGTGGGTGAGCCTAACAGTGCCTCACCCTCATCCCCACACCCTCAGCCCAGAATAATCTGAAAATGAATTTGGCACACTTTTTTGGGTGTTCTTACCCTTTCTTCTTTGCGTTCGTGGGTGTTCTTTGGGTGTTCGTAGGCGTTCGTGGGTGTTCATTCAAAATGTATGCTTAAAAAGCGAAATTATAAAAATTTTTTCAAGTGTTCGTTAGGCGTTGCTATACACAGCTCGACGAGCTCTATCGACTGGCTAACTCAGATTTTAATTTGGGGGTGTTCGCGTCTTTTAGCAACATTCGTGCCTATTCTTAACAAGAAATTAAGACTATGTAAACCCTGAAATTCAGTTATGTAAACACCAACGTTTTCCAAGGACCGTTTTCCCCTAGGATTCGCCGTATAAAACTAAATCCCAAACTGCCATCTCCTTCGGAGAACGGACGTGTCCTTGGAAGTTTTCACAAAAAGTAACGCACTCACACTCGTGTAGCAGAGTTACACAATTCAACTATAAACATTCTTGAAGTTGTACGTAGTCTCTTCATACAAAGCAGTAGAACCCTACCATTTTTCAATTTCAACTTCTTCATTAAGTAAAATAATCCAAATGATTAATAGATAATTTACATATAGATTATATATCTATGTCATATCAATGATACTGCAGGATGTCTTAAATGGGCTTTACTAATTTCGTATATTACAGATATAACTAACGAAAAAGAATTTGTGTCATTCAAAAATGTAAGGCAGAAAAAAGATTACATTTAATAATAATTTTAACTGTAGGATACATCTGGTAATTTGTTCAAAGAGAATATAAATATAGATAAAAATTTCATGTTAGTTTGTATTAGTAAATTTAGTCAATATAGTTATGTCTAATCTAACTATTCTTCTCATTCAATTAAATCAATGTATTTTGATACCCGTCATTATTTTGGGCACAATTGGCAATGTGTTTAATATTTTGATATTCACTCGAAAAGTCTTACGTATTTATTCTTGTTCAATTTATTTCATAGCATCATCGATTAGTAATTTTTTTGTTCTCTATTTCTCTGTCTTCTCTCGTCTGCTTATTGATGGTTACTCTATTGATCCAACTATCTACTCAAACGGCGTATGCAAATTAACCGCTTTTCTTCAATATACATTTACAACTCTCTCATCGTCCTACACTGTTTTGGCCTGTGTCGATCGTTACGCTCTAACCTCACCACATGTTCACTATCGACAGTTTAGTCGTCCATCTACAACTATTTATTCAATACCAGTGCTGTGCCTTATTTGCTTTTTACTCTTTATTCACGTTCCCATTTATTTTCAAGTTTTACACATATCCATTAGTACAACCGTTACTATTGAACTATGTTATTGTCAAGGATCATATTCACAATTTTTCTCATTCTATTATCTATTTGTTTATTCCATTTTTCAACCATTGTTAATGATCGTCTTTGGACTAATGACATTGGCCAATGTTCGTCAACAACGTCGACACGTAAATACAACAACAATCACCGTTGTGAACAAACGTCGTCAGCAAAAACGTGAAAAGCAAATGCTACGTTTAGTATTATTTCAAGCATTAGCCTTTGTCATTCTCTCTTTACCATCAACGATTTGCATTGCGTACTCGACATTTGCTGAAGCGAGTGAACAATTAAATTTTATTGTACATATTTCATTATTTTTACTCTATTTAAATTTTATTCAATGTTTCTATATTAATACAATGTCAGCAAAAACATATCGTATGGAATTTTATAAAATTTTAAATCAAGTAGAAAAACGTATCTTTCACACAAATTATATTGACCGGCAATTATTGAGACAACGAGGTGATACTACACGAACAGTAGGTGCGATGACAGTTATGAGATCAGCAACTGTTCAACATGACCAGAACTGAACTCAAACACTAAATAAGCAGTGTCTACTTATACGATCCAGGCAAACGTTTTCTGGCAAAAAACGCATTGATGTGCGTTAATTTCTAACGCGTTTATCAGGATGCATTTTGACCGTTTCAACGCGTTTGTATTCTGTGAAAATCAATTAAAATGGAAAAAAAATAAACTTCAGCATCAGATTAAATTCTGGTACATGTCTGGATGCATAGATATGCATACAAACGACTATATAACCCAGTAGAGTGACGAAATAGAGGAAGAAAACAACTTGTACTTACATGACTTCAGTGTGATTTGAACGTAGATATCTAGAATTAAGAAGCAAACACATAACCATCTGCGCTATCAGACGATCGAAACATATACAGTAACAATGCTATGCGTTTTGATCATCTCAGTCAGACAAGACAGTGTTTGCTTCTTTATTCTATGACTTCTATGCTTCATTTACAAAATAAACAAATCTTTTCGCTCAAAATAAAGTAATTCCACCGATAATCATCTCTTTTCGCATACCTAACTATGTGTGTGCGAGTAATGAAATAGTCTGTCTGTTAGGTCGATAACTCCGTACCTCATCCTTCTGTTTAAAGGTGAACTCTGATATCGAGTTGCACTTTATTGAGAAACTCACCAGATGTAAGTGACTTTTTTGAGACAGGATGTTTCTACTCTGTCATTCTTGTAGCTTTTGAACATGAATAAATCTACTAATACAGATCGCATTGTTATTTTCTTTTTTTTGTATTCGTACTGTTTCGGTTATTCTATGCCACAAGAAGATTTTAAAGTCAAATGGTCTTCTTGCTTCATCTTTTATGATACACTTTGAAAAAAAATTAAAATGCAGCAGAAAATAACGCATAAAAGCGCGTTAAATTACCAAATAATGGTCCTGCTAAACGCGTCGGTAATTAATGCACCTTAACGCGTTGGTAATTAACGCATCCGTTTTCTCTAATGCGTCAGAATGCACTGGATTTAACGTTTCGATGCGTTTATAGTACACTAACGCGTCAGAACGCGTTCATTTTCATCAAAAATGCGTCAAAAGGCGTTACCTGTCCAAACTAACGCGTTTCAACGCTCGTTGACTCAAAACAAGGCTTGCATGGGGAATGGGTGGTCAAATTCTCCATAAAAATTTTGAGAACTACCGAATCAGATTCCCTGGAATATTAACGAAGAATTTTTCAAAATTCGTTAAACTGGACTTTTAAATTAAATTTTACTAAATTTTAAAAGTGTTTTTCGCTTCCTTCGTGTGAAATTTGGTTCAAGGTCTTTTCAAAAATACTTCTTGCTCCAAAATGCCATCGAGCAGATCAAAGCGGAATAACTCAGTCAAAACTTCTTCGAAAGCTTTGATCGAACTTTTTGTAGATACATCTTGATGTTCTCGATCGATTGACATCAAAACCGAGGTTATATATAGAAATCTGAAAATTTTATTAAACTATTAAAATTGGAGCAAAAAGTCGAGACTAAACTTAAAAAGTTATTTTCTGAAAAACTACAGGTCCGGTGCCCGAAAAAAGTATTGAAATATATACTTCAAAGTGTCCTCTACAAACTCATAGGAAAAACCGAGTGGGGGATCCCCCCTTAAGTCAATGCTAATTGACCATCAAGAATTTTATCTGTCAGTATGTAATTTACACATCTTGGCATAGAATATAGCGTAACTGTTGAAACACGTTGATCTGAAGATACCTTCGTATATACTGAAAAAATTAAGTTACTTTTTATCGGAGAAAACTTTCTCATTCGGGATAGATCTCCAAACGAAAAAAGTCGTACATGTTTCGGTATGTATGATGCCGATATTGCGGAACATTTTTCGACCGCTGTCTGTCAGTTCTACCCATGAATTTTTCATTAAACAGGTTCCAACTTATGTGACAAAAGTTGACATAAACGTGAGCTTAACTGCATGAAAGCATGAAACCACCGTCGTCATTTGACGGTTGTTTAGTTTCACTTATACTATGTTCTATCTAGCTCATATTCAATAAATGTATGCGTCAGTATATGCCGGTTAAAGTACCTTTTAAAATGTTTTGATTCGAACGAAAAACTTTAAAAAGTATTGTGACGACATGTAAAGTCCAAAGTATTATTATATAAGTAGATGTTTGGCTTCTTCTGCACGTAAGATACAGAATTTTACAATATATGTTTTTACTTGGATTTTTCCCTACGAAAAGAGCAAATCTCTTAAACCCAGTTAGGACACTTTTTCCTGATGTATACTATAATACATACCGGCTAAAGTCTCTAACAGTCGGTTAAAATCTTTCAAAAATTTCACAAGAAATAAGGTAGGAGATCGTATATAATAGCATGGTCACTGGAGTTACCACTGAGGGTCGAGGAGGAGGAAGAAGAAAATTGAAAAAGGATTTTTTACTAATGCTCTATTCTAATGGTTGTTTTATTCATAGCTCATTTTGTATGGATTATGTGGCTCAGAGTTCATCCGTCGAGTACATTGAAACTATCCATATATCTTATTATTCTCAGCTGAGTCAGTTTCCTTTAAAATGTGCGTGGAGAAATTTGAGTAAAACACGGTATATCAACGATGCATGATCACAGCAGGAGCCCATCAGATGCAATCATGCAATACAATAACAGTTTAAATCCAATATGACAAGTTTACAGAGAAATGCACTAGGATCACATTGTGGGCAGTTCAAGAAACAACGGATGTATAATAACCAAAATAGATTTGTGAGTAGAAAGTAGCCTTAAATTTGAAAACGTATGAGAAGAGCCCAGTTGTAATCTTTAATTCTAAATACAACTCAAAACAAGGGTGTTTTAAACGGAAAAATACAAAAATCTGGAAAAACATTTAAATTCGTCAGCTAAAAAACTAAAAGAATGTCAGAGTCAGTTTACTAAGCAATTTCATTTAAACAGTTTTATAATCCACTTTATGTAGTAAAAATATCATAGTTTTAGCGAAGTAACTTTGCAATTTCTTCTCCGACTGCAGCGGCGCTAGCCGGATTCTGTCCAGTGATGAGTTTGCCATCGACTTTTACATAGGATTCCCAATTGGCTGCTTTCGAATACACTCCGCCTTGCTTCTTGAGTGCATCCTCCAGCAAAAATGGCACCACTTTCGTCATACCCACCGCTTCTTCTTCCTCGTTTGTGAATCCAGCAACCTGACGACCTTGAATAATGTATTCACCATTCTAAGAACAGAAAAATATTGATACTAAAATAAAGATACAGATCAATTTCCAATAAACTGAAGGAAGAAATCTGGGTTCCCATAACGAGAAATATCACTCATTAATATTTTGCACAATTTTGGCACAAATTGTTTACAAAATCTGTTATTATTTTTGACAAAAAGGATATTCCACTAGCTCAGCTGGAATTTTGATCAAACGTGGAGGATTGATTATTTTTCAGATAACCCGTTTAAGGCAGCGCTTACTAATTGCTGCAGCTTGATCAGACTATACATTCAGACAATTATGAGAAATATGAAGATCATATCAGAAAGTCTCCGTAGTGGGGAAGGTTCTCCCTTAGAAGTCAGAAGGTCTTATAAATGTAAAAATTCTCTGAGAATTCTCAGCCTATAGCAAGGTAAGATAAGATACTGTCGCGAACCCTTTAGGATTAAGATAGACTAAGGGAAGGAAAAGGGAAGGTGAGGCAATGCAGTTTTTTGCTGTTATGGAGTTTGCTATGAGACATACACAGTATACCTACTTCAACGTTCACTGTACAGTACTTGACATTAAGACACAAAGACATTTTGGAGCGTTTTTAGGAGGGAGAGGTACGTTGCATACTGGTCACCCAGACGCACATTTGACGAATGCGTTTTTTTCTAAAGTTTGAACAATGGAATAAATACACCAATATATGCTATACTTTTTAGCAGAAAAGCAAATTTTTATCTAAAAAGGAACACTGAAAAACTCATGCTCAAAAATTTGCTCAAAAATCGCTCCGATTAAAAAAATACAACTTTTTTGGCTATTTGAGGAAATTGTTTCACTGAAAAAACCTCTAATTTTTTTTCTCCAAGAATTTCAGGCCGTGCGCCACCATCCCACCTTCAATTTGACTCAACCTTTGACCGGAGAGTCACCTGTATGTGATACGCCGAGTGACATATGTAAAAGCCGAGAAAACCGATTTAACTTAATTGCCAGAAGTTTCCGACACCTTGGGGTAAAATGTGCTTTATTTCATCAGAAAAGTATTTTCAAACAAAACCAAGGCGATATTTGGAATCAGTTCGTCGAACTACATCGAAGCATATATGAGACGAATATTTTTCGTTGTAAAAATTAACAGGAGAAACTTCGTAAGTAAAGAAACGAGCAATCATAGCTGCCTTTCGCAAAAATTATTTTATCAATAAATGAAGTAGAAAGTATATATTCGAAATCCCGACACTGTTATCTATCTCTCTGTAAAATAATCTGTCATTGAGAAGCAAACTTTGAGCGTAAATAAAGCTTTTCCGAAACAAAACATCTGTATAAAGAAAGAATGTGATATTTGGAATTAGAGTATAAAACTACATTTAATGACACATACCTTGTTCATTTCCTGAATACCAAATTTTTCCACAAAAATTTAGATAATGGTACCCCTCAAGGATTTTTCGTCTAAAAATATTTTTCCCAGTTCCGGTTTTTTTAATTTATAATAACATCAAACGTAATAAAGTACTATTGAGCAAAAATAATCTCTTTCTGCATTAAAAAACTACATGTCCGCCTGGTCTATAGAAAGGTGTTCACTGTGCGTTGTGAGAGTAAGTGTGAAAACAACATTTCTCTCATTGTAATGATATGGTCACACGTCCTGTTGTCGCGTTTTATAGAGTGCGTAAAATTCCCTGTTCTAGCGCTCTGACCTTCACTTCTGTGACTCGTAGAATCACAATAAACGTATGAGGAAGTATCCTTCTCTAAAACAGCCTAAAACTGACATAGAAATAAATAAACAGCCCCTCTTTTCCTGAGCGATTCGAATATTCACGTGAACTGATTTTCTACCTAACCTTCTTTTATTATGGAGGGCTCGTCCTATAACTATTCTTGTTTTTTCTTGTTACGTGAAGGAGATTATTTTGCCAGGAGAATATTCCTGTTTCACAAATGTTTTTTTCTGATTTTTGCAATCCGTTCTTTGACAACATATTCGTACCTTATCTTTAAGGTTCACAAGTCCGGCAGGTCCATGACAAACTGCAGCTACAACACCGCCATTATTCCATATAGTTTCAGATATATTCCATAAGTCTGGATTCGTAGGGAAATCCCACATAACTCCATGACCACCAGCGTAAAAGACAGCATCATAATCCTTGAAATAGTAGAGCACACAATAGTACAAGAGATGGAGAAGAAGCAATGTGCAACATACGTTTGGATAAATTTTCGACGCCTTCTTTGTATTCTCGGTTAGTGATTTTCCTTCGCCTTCCCAAAACTGCTTGTTCACCGCATCCTTTAAATCAATGGAACTGGGATCAACAGGTGCTAATCCTCCTTTTACACTAGCAAAATCAACCTGTATGAAAAATGTTAAGAGTGACTTATAGCACAGGGATGAGTTAAATGGGATTGTGTACCTTGAATCCGTTTGAAGTAAGCACATGATAGGGATGCGCAGCTTCAGGAAGATACCAGCCAGTTTTTCTTCCAGTATTTCCCAGTTGATCATGATTTGTCAGAAGAATCAGTACACGTTTATTACTACTCATGGTGCTGTTATTTATCTGAGTTAAAGCAAAAACTGATAAGCAGGGTAATCGAAGCGCATTATTATCAAACATTGTTTCTTGGATATTTCTGCGAGTGACTATCAGACTATACGCGACTTTTGTTGCGTAAGCTGCGACCCTGTTTAATGAAAAACCCATGCGTAGAACTGACAGATAACGGTCGAAAAACGTTCCGCAATATCGTTATCATATATACCGAAACATTTGCGACTTTTTCCGTTTAGGGATCTATCCAGAATGAGAAATTTTTCTCCGATAAAAAGTAACTCTAAGCCTAGATCTTTTGAATATATATATCAGTTTTTCAGACTCAACACAATTTCGACTTTTTCTATTTCATGTGGAAGAGCAAACATTTCTGAGTAACATGGCCTTTGGCGATTGAATAACTAATGTATAATTATTAAGCTATGAAGTTTCCAAAACTAGCTCCGAGGCAGAAATAGCGGTTTGACCACGAAGCTCTGGTTTCAGTAAAATTAAAATACCTCAGCTTTGTAAAGGGATAGAGAGATCGGGTTTGCGTCATTATTTAAGCTGATGCCTAATCTATCGATGACCCCAGTTACATGTGTCACGTGGCCAGTGAGGAGCCATCATTTTTGGATTTTAGGGCTCTTTTTGAAATATCTTTTCTGCACCGAAAGACAAGCATTTTGTAGACTTCTTGCTATCATCATGTACTTAAGTAGTTACCGTATAGAGGTGTGAAAACGGAAATTTTTCATTTTTAAGTTTAGAGAAAAAACCGGATTTTTGAACATTAAAATCCCGTTTTTGCCAATGAAAAACTTTTTCGTCAGAACTAACGGTATATTCATGCTCAACATTCAAAACTGCATGATGTATCATTCGAACTTTAGCAACACTTTTGCTTTTGTCAAAAAAAGATCCCTTTCGTCCCATCTTGTGTGTTTAGTGAGTAAAGCGCCTCCAGGCATTATTTTTGTACAGTATACTTGACTACAAAACGATGCAAAGATATCCAAAACATATTTATCCTCCCGTACAGAAAAGATATTTCAAAAATAGCCTTAAAATCCAAAAATGATGACTCCTCATTAGCCACGTGACACATATGGTGGCACATGTGACTGGGGTCATCGATAGTTCGGGCTTCAACTTAAATAATGACGCAAACCCGACCTCTCTATCACTTTAACAAAACCAAGATATTTTAATTTTACTGAAATCGGTACTTCGGGATCAAACCTAGCAATGTTTGGGTATTCATAATGCCGATATTGCGGAACATTTTTCGACCGCTATCTGTCAGTTCTACCCATGAATTTTTCATTAAACAGGTTCCAACTTATGTGACAAAAGTTGACATAAACGTGAGCTTAACTGCATGAAAGCATGAAACCACCGTCGTCATTTGACGGTTGTTTAGTTTCACTTATACTATGTTCTATCTAGCTCATATTCAATAAATGTATGCGTCAGTATATGCCGGTTAAAGTATCTTTTAAAATGTTTTGATTCGAACGAAAAACTTTAAAAAGTATTGTGACGACATGTAAAGTCCAAAGTATTATTATATAAGTAGATGTTTGACTTCTTCTTCTGCACGAAAATATAAAATTAATATTTGTTTTAAGCTGTTGCACTCAAAGTACAAACTTGAGAATTCTTATATATGTACAGAAAAAGTAATACCTAAATTTTAGTTTGTTGCAACGAAAACAGGTATGATATAGTTATGATTGACTATTAGCTGCACTGACTACTGGCAAAAGTTTAAAACAAGTTTGCCACGTAGCCTTTATTTTTATGGAGTTAAAAGTTAGAAGGATGATTCCTTCACTAATAGTCACTCTGCTGTGTCAAAAAATTATGCTTCCTTCAAGAATTTAATAGCTAGTGAATGCCTAGTGAAAAAAAATGTACTGAAAATCGCGTAAAAATCGGTAATTAATCGTGAAAAATTATATGATTAAGCATTCGCTTAATCGCGATTGATTGGCGATTTTTTGGTGATTTCAACGATTAATTGAAGATTTTTTTCTGGGTACTGGGTGCGAACCCATCTTAGGAAATACATACTTTTTGGGATTTTTCCAGTCTTTATTATGAATAATGACACGTACATTACCCAGCAACGGTCTTAGCACCAACTGATGTCCGAGCCTTTCCGACGAGTCGATTTTAGACATTGTCTAGATCAGCTGTTCACTGGGATCCTCGGCTTACAACTCTAAGGGACTATATACAGAAGACTCTTGACAACTCCGCTTTACCCTAAAATGAAAAGATGATCTCAATAGAAGTGTACTCCTCGTTCAAATCTTGTTCTTTATATGCATACTTCACTGCAAAATAAAACGATGAATAACAATAACCATTTAATCGCTTAAAATCAACAATTATTCACAATTAATTGACAATTTTTAAAAAAAGTAAAATCATCGGAATCGCCAATTAATCGCAATTAATTTGCAATTTTTCAAGAATCGCGATTAATTGTTAAAACTGTGGCGATTTCGTCGACATAGACGTATTCTTATTTTGAACGGATAATAACAATAAAACCTTATCCTCTAGATCTGAGCGCGTAGAGAAGTAAAATATTTTTGCGTTTTACGGTTCTCCACCCTGCTGCGGAAACGAATACCAGTAATGGCTGATTTTATCTGTGTATTTGTCTGCAGCCATTGTGGGATGTGGTATTCCTTCATACTCAATGACTTGTAATTGAGTACAATTTTTGTTAAAGAAATAAAGGTCAAAATAAAAGGAAAATAATTTAAGTGACTCAGTTTTTGGTATATGAAGTTTTCTTTGAATTTTAGTGATCGTTACAATCTACATTAGCGACTATAATGTTAAATTCTCATTTATTCTAAATTCGATGACTTCGTTTACAGAACAGCAAGGAAACAAACTTCTGTTGAGAAAAAAATTTCACTTTTCTTTTCTTCTTTTCCTGTTTTTCCACTGTAAGCAGCGTATCTATCTTTTCGAAATAGTGAACTTATCTAAAGAAACTTCAAATATTCTTTTCACTTAATACGTGTGTATTCATGCGTGCCTGCCTGACTTACTTTTTGTTGAATGATACAAATAATAAAAAAGTATTCCCTTGACTTTAGTCTATAGTCTTACAAAATGGTTGGCGAATCACAAGAGAGAAAAGTATAAAAGTATTTTTTACACAAGAGGGAAAATGTCCAAGCGGTGACAGAAAAATAATTACTACTGCAGAACGAAAGAAAAACTAAGCAAATATTTCCATAGTTGGGATACAGATGTCGCCATAAAGCAGTCAATTGTGATAACACAAAAACAGTGATCTACGGTTAATAAAACTTACAGAATACAGATGGTCTATCATGGCGAATTGATCAGAAATACTTGGAGCTTCTCCTCGGACATTTAGTGGGTGTCCACAAAAGTTCTTAGCTGGGTATGTCCATTCAGGTCCGTTCACTTTATACAGACATAACAGCCGCGAAAATTTGAACATTTCTGTCGTATAGAGCATAGAGACTTGTATGGAATTGCTCATTTGTCCATTAAAAAAGTCATATTCTACATGCCCGTTTAGGGATATCAAGTTTTGACCTCTCTGAGAACGAAGCAACTTTGACCTTGTTTACATAAGAGAGAAAATATTCAAAGAGATCATCTGAAATATCTACTGATGCGGAGAGGTAAACAGCTAAGCAAACGTTTTCTGTAGGCCGGGTGGTAGATGTCGTCAGATAGCAGTCAACTGTGACAATACAAAAAAGATGGTATACGGGTAATAAAATTGACAGTGTATAGATAATCTATTATGACAAATCGATTAGAAATACTTCCAACCTCTTTGGGATCTGCAGAGGGTGTGCAGAAAACCTGTTAGCTTTATATTACATAGATGGTTTTCCGGCGGAATCAGAGAAGTTCATCGCATTTCTCATCTATACTGGTTGCGAACGCCAACGGAAGGGAAGCATGAGGATTGTTTGAAATTCAGAAATAGTTTTAGACGTCTTGAGATTTTTGCTCTTTATACTCATATTAGATTCCAAACCTTACACATGAAAACAGAAAAAGTCCAGAAGATGTGTTAGGCAGGTCTCCAGCGAGCGCCGACTGAAGGGTGGTGTGAGCATTGTTTTGAATTCAGGAGTATGTTTATACCTCTACATATTTTTGATTTATATATTTATATCAGATTACGAACCTTATACATAAAAAAAGAAAAAAATCTAGCAGACGCCCTAGGTAGGGCCCTAGCGAGCGTCGACCGAAGGGAGGCGTGAGCATTGTGTTCGATTTATAAGTCACCAAAAGGCGTTCGCTTGCGCAGATCCAACTTAATAAAGTCCGAGCGAGTGGAGACGAGCGCTACCTTGTTTTCAAATTGTACTTTTTTTTGTTACAGTATAATACAGGAAAAAGGAAATACTATGAATTTTTAATCTCATATATCAACGTGTCTTCATTCTGAATACCGTTTCCATGGATGCGTAGTGTAAACAGTACGTAAAAAACAGAAGTGGATAAAGGTCGAACGAAGTCATCAAAATGGTGACCCTAGTAACAACATTTTGATATTCACCGATTTGTATTAATATAAAGTGCAGTTAATTAGAAAAAGATACTAATCACTGGTCGCTCAAATTAACAGCGATAATTTTAGGTAGCTCACCTTCGACGGGGCATGTAACAGAATTTTATTGGTGGATATAGTCGTTTAGTTTTTTCTGAACTACAAGAAAGCAAAAGACCTATTTTTCTTTTCTATGTACGAGTAGAGTGTACGTTCTATATATAATGTATATAGTAGACACATATGTGATTCAAGATATGTACGCTCGTTAGTAGACCTTTAGCGTGTAGCGTTTCTTTTTCTGTAAATGTCACCTATGTATCCAATTGTCAAATAGTGCATGTGAAGAAAGGACGAAAGAAGAAAAGGTTTTTTCATTCTCATTCCTCCAATGCATGCGATGAGTCACACTACTATGATTATTCTTTTCTCTAAGCAAGTAGTAAATTGACTGTAACTAAATTGGTTTGAACTCAACTGAGATACGTGATTAAAATGTGGATTGGATCTTAGTTGAGCCGTTACCAGTAAATTAAATTTAAAAAAAAGTTTGATTAAATAAAAAGACAAAGTAAATTAAATAAAAGAGTAAACTTGATATAGCTTTATAGTTTTCTACTATTTTCACTACTCTGCTACTTGCATTTTAACTAATAAAGTTATGGTCGTTTAAGAAATGTTACTGATCTACCACCTATCACATATGAATTATTCAAGAAAAGTAAATATTTGTTGCTAATTCATTTCTATTTCTTTAATCAGACTTGAATAAAAGATGTCCACTCTATAAGAATTTCTCTCCCTGTCTGATATGTATATGTAACTCTCTCGTGCGGACAAAAATACATGTACATCTGATCTGAAACGGAAGTCAAATTATTCTCATAAACAATATTCAATAGCACCATCATTACAATATCGTATTTATCAAGCTCATCAAGTAGTTTTTAAACGCCAGTGTATGGGTGATAACTGTATTATCCCAAGTAAAAGGATATTTCTAGATCTAGTTTGAAGCTCGGTTTTTGCAACATTTATTTAGCTCCAATCTTCTTACTCGGTTGGAGCTGAATAAATGTTCCAAAAATCAAGCTTCAAGTTAGAGCCAAAAGATCTTTTTGCTCAGGCTCGACCCGAAGGTTGGATACGGGTGCCGTTGTTTGTGTTTTAAACTGAAGCTGAATATACAATCACATTTGGGGTTTGAAATATTTTTTCTTAAACTATTCATGGTTGCTAGCTAATCATGTTTCTTACAATCATCTTGGTTGCAGGTTTTTCCTCCCACACAAAAATATCATAAAGAACAGTA